CGACTGAAGAACTCCAGGCACAAAGTTCCCAATAATTAGGCTTTAAACAAGACCACACTGACCTAAATCCTCCTTAGGCATGTGATTCCATGGCAGCTCACCCACCTACTGTGAGCCAACATGACACGGTTTCCCACCACTCTTCTGGTCGCAAAAAAAAGACATGGAGAAATAGATTATGTGTCTCACAAGAAACCTTCTCAGGAGCCAGGAGCTGGACACAGGTTATCAAGACCCCAGCTCAAAGCCACCAGCGCATCTCTCCTGCCCCTGCGGGAGCAGCCAGCATCCTTTCCACGAAGTCTGGCGGGGCACAAAAGCCTCACGCTGACCCAGTTTACTGTGACACATATCATCCTTGTGATTAATGCACAGGCTGGATGTGTTTTTTCAGAGGTTAACAAAACATGCTACAGTACAGTAAACCCAATAAACACTCAATTGTAAATCAGGAGGGAAACCTAAAGCCAACCCTATTCCACTGACAAATGCTACAGCTAAATGCCTTTTGGCATTTAGCTGAAATGACTGTCTTCAGTGAAGAAGGCATAGAGCTGAAACACTTGTCTGCAGAATTGCATTCCTTCATTATTATTTTTTTCCCCAGAGTGTACCTCATGAAAATACATTTGTAATATTAGAAGGAATCTTTAGGAACCAGTTTTCCTGCCTGGAAACGGCATCTCTTAAAAAATGTAAATTATAGGGCAGATTGTGACGTGTGGGCTGGGCTAGGGGAGGTTTTTTTATTTGATAAATTATGCACCACCTTTTCCGCAGATCAAAGAGCAAGGCAATATAAGTCCATTAAGTAAGCTTAATATATAAATTAGATGCTTTGCTGAAATTATTATAATCCAAAGCAATTCTGTACTTTTTCCCCTTCATAGCTGAATACCATTTTAGGTTTCCAATACATATTAATGAAGCCAGGTTGCTAGAAAGCTATTTATATTTTTCACCATTATATCAGGTAAGATACCATTTTGTCACCCAATGGCGAGACCTAACAACTGGGATTATGTTTATGAAACATTAGAAAACATAAACAATCTTGCAAAGAACTTGTGTTGTTCTCTGACCCTTTTTCCTCCTCACATTCATATACAGTCAGTCCACTTCACGCCAAGGAGCCAGACCCCACAGTAACGCCAGCAGGAGTGCTGCTAGCTGCTTTGGCAGATGGCTGATCAGTCGTTATTTGTGGGCTGAACTAGCAATCCTGCCTGCCCAGGACTTGCCTCAAGTCCGCAGAAGCTGTGCATGTGAAAGGAGTTACAAGTCCTAATAA